ACTAGATGATTCTGTGTCCAGTTTTGGGCACCACATTTTAGGAAGGATGTTGACACGCTCGAGCGTGTCCAGAAGAGGGCAACCAGGATGGTGAGAGGGTTGGAATCCAAGTCTCATGAGGAAAGGCTGAAAGAGTTGGGTATGTTTAGCCTGGGAAAGAGAAGGCTTAGAGGGGACATGATTGCAGTCTTCAAGTATCTGAAGGGCTGTCATGTAGAAGATGGAGCGGATCTATTCTCTCTTGCTCCGGACTGCAAGACTAGATCTAATGGGTGGGAATTACAAGGGAGTCGTTACCGGCTAAATAGCAGGAGAAGCTTCCTAACTGTAAGAGTGGTTGAGCAGTGAAACAGTCTGCCTCGGGAGGTGGTGGATGCTCCTTCGTTGGACGCTTTCAAGCAGAGGCCGGGCAACCATCTTTCAGGTATGTTGTAGGTATGTAGGGCTATCTTTCAGCTATGCTCCTGCAGAGTGCAGAGGGTTGGACTAGATGACCTGCAAAGTCCCTTCCAACTCTAACATTCTATGACTCTATGATACTATGACTCTGGAGGTCCCTTCCAACTCTATGATTCTAAATGCCAGAACTGCATGGCTTCCTGATTTCCTTAACCCCATTATTCTCTGCATGACGAACAGACAGCTTGAAGAAGCAGGGAAGCCCGCTGGAAACTGAAGAGGCACCCTCCGAGATGGGCTTCCACTCACCTGAACAGGCTGGGCATCCTTCCAGACCAATCCTTCTCCTTCACTTTCCCACCAAAGGTGCACTTCTTTGCCCGCCCACTCTCTGGGGATACCGAGATCGATTTTAAACCAACAAGTCTTCCATCTGAAAGAAATGACGTTTCTTCTGAAGCATCTCCTAGAACAGAGGGTCCCCCAACCTTTTTAAGCCTACAGGCACCTTTGGAATTAGGGTTACCAGCTCTAGACTGGGAATCACGTGGAGATTTCGGGGGTGAGGCTGAGGAGGGCAGGGCTTGGGGAGGGGAGGGGAGAGGAGAGACTTCAATAGGATACAATGCCACAGAGTCCACCCCTCCAAAACAGCCGTTTTCTCCAGGGGAACTGATCTTGGTCGTCTGGAGATCCACTGTAACCCTATTTGGCAACCCTATTCAGAATGGTGGGCATGGCCACAAAATGGCGTTCACCACTTTGATGTAGTGGTTAAGTGCGCGGACTCTAATCTGGGAGAACCGGGTTTGATTCCCCACTCCTGCACTTGTACCTGGCTGGATGACCTTGGGCAAGCCACAGTTCTGTCAGAGCTGTTCTTGAAAAAGAGCAGTTTCTGTCAGAGCTCTCTCAGCCCCACCTACCTCACAGGGTGTCTGTTGTGGGGAGGGGGAGGGAAAGGAGTTTGTAAGCCGCTCTGAGACTCCTTTGGGTAGTGAAGGGCGGGGTAGAAATCCAATCTCTTCTTCTTCTTTTA